CAAAATGAAGGATAAGAAGGTTGGACTTTTGGCTTGTTTAAGTAGCCATGGTTGAGTGACACTTGTCACCACTAATACCAACCAAAATTTTCTTTTTCTTTCTTGCATTTTTAGCCCTAAATTTCGGTCAAAGCTAGCTGGAAAATGAGAGGATTTTTGCTCAAATATTAATGAGCTTGTATGGTAAGAAAGTGGTGATCAAGTGGTGGGTTCAATCGGTAGTACACGGTACACGTCGGTTCGCACCGTTTTTCCTTAAATCACACGTACTAGGGTTTTACTTCCTATTCACTAACTTTTTATCATTGCTTCTAATCACATATTATTTCTCACCTAAAAGTCACTCATAAGCACCAAATTTGATCCTCACTCCGTACCGGATAATTACACTACGAAAAAACGTGAAAACCCTAATTCGCTCCAACTTGAAAACGAAAAGTGAAACCCTTTACTTTCATGTTCATTTGCACTTATTGTGAGGTGATTGGGTGGTAGGGTTATTATAAAATCATAATTTCCAATTAAAAGGGCATTTTTGAGAAAACATGAGGGGTTTTACAATTCCAGTGATTAAAATTAGGGTTTCGGTTGAAATATGAGAAATTTGAGAAAATGGTCAGTCACAAATGAAACTAGGGTTTTGATTAGACTTTATTTCTAGAATTTAGGGTTTCTAGTCTGTAAAACAAAACAATAAAATAAAGAAACCGTAATATTCTCTTTGAGGCTAAACAACAATAGTATCCTAAAAGTTGGGGTATCACATGTATTACATTTATGTTGTCCTAAATGACCACTGTAAGAGAGTTTTAATTGCTCAACATTTGTTTACAAATAGAAATAAGGGTAGAAAATGATATTTAGGATTCACATAGGAGTATTTGGCATTTTGAATAGTAGCTGAACCGCACTGAATAGCCGTCATTTCCCTTTGATTTGCTGCATCAATTTACACAAAAAAAAAGAAGTTGATAAGGTCCATAACAAAGACCACATTTCTTAGCTTGTCAATCCCTATCTGTGGCATCATCCCAGTTAAAGACACACTTAATTCCTATCTCATCTCATACTACAAGTCTTAGGCCTGCCAGATCTAGTAGTGAATTGTTCGTCTATTTTATTCAATTCCACATGGATTAACAGATTGTAAAATTCAGTAACGTTTTCATCTACACTCATCCCTATTGCTTCAAATTATGAAAACTTTCATAGAGATCATAAGATAAGTCACCTGGTAAGAACCGCCTCCATAGCTTGAATTTCATTTCCTTCTAAGTCTAAATATACTATTTTTCTTATCGATATCGCTGCACTCCTATTTATTTTCACTATTGAAGTGCTATTTCCTTCGATTTCATCTTGACAAACAAAGCTTATGATCTTCAGCAACGGTTTACATTCAAAATAGGTCTCCAAGGAAGATTTCCAATCATGAAAATCTTTAGCATGTATGCTATCAAAAATTAGAAAATTTGATATTGACCATGGAGTTTAAGTCCAATGCTCTTGTCAATTGCTTTTCAAGTCTACCATGATCAAGTTGTAGATTATGTACAATGCCATGAATGGGGTTGACATTCTCTTGGTGCTCTTTTTCTTTCTAGTAACCCCCTTTCTATGGGTTTAAGGGCTAATAATCATCTTCTAATGACCCTGCTTTAGTTTCGCATGACCGTTACATTCCAAATTTTGAACCTATTATGAAAGCTGCTCGATCCTTCTTCACATTTCCATTATCTCAACTTGTCATTGGTAAGTATTTTGTCAGCCTAAACTCAAAAAATTTGCAGAGAGCTTTCGAGCTTTAATTCTCCTTTACTCTTGCCTTAGTTGGAAATCTTAACATTTCTCCTATAACTAGATCTTTCTAATTCTAGTTAGCCTTGCTACAACAAATTGAGATATATTCTTTTCGAAAATAATTAGATAGCATGTGTCCTTGAAAAAAATAAAAATAAATCAAATAGATATAAAAATTGATTTCTTTTTTCGAAATGAAAATTTGTAGCATGTTTGAATTGCAAACCAAATTGAAGGATATGTCTTGATCACTTAATCTATGACTATGGCCTTCAATTATTTGGGCATTTCTTTAGCAAAATAAATAAAATAGTTACAATTAGATAAACTAACCTTGTTAAACATTGTAAAACAAATTAATTTTATTATGCATAACATGTCATTAAACTTTCATTCTTTTTTTTATGCTACATATGGCACATATTTTACTTTATGAAATTCAAGTAGCATATCAATTTGAAAAAAGCTGAAATTTGTTAGAATCCAATAATAATGCATATTACTATAATAAATTTTTGTAAATTATTATTACTAACCTTTTGAGTGTTAATAAGCTTATTATTATTTTTTAACTAGAAAAAAATTGAAAGAGGAGTTATTATATCATATGAGTATAGGGTGATAAATGATACTTTTATGCATATTCTACTACAAATGTATTTCAAATGCAAAATAAGTTTCTCTATTAAGTCATGAATTCATCTACGTCTTTAATATAATGCAAAAATGTAAGAAGAAAATAATTGCTATGCATTATAAGACAATTGATCATTTACTTTGAATTATTTAAGTTCATAAAGATTGTTGATTAATGCAAAATATTATATTGTTAATATTTTCAATATGCTAATGTATATATATGTTAATATCGCCATTTTATTTTATTACCATTTAGCAAGTTTTTGGGACAATTTTCTCTCTGGGTTCTAAGACACACGTAGGGTTCGGGTTAGGTTCTCATGGCGGCTCTCCTGCATGGGGAGGCGCCGCCTTTCGTTCGACCAGCGAAGACGTTTGCATCTGTTCTTTCACAATCTCCGTCATCACATCAAGTGGTGTTGGCCTTCTTAGTACATACAAGGGGGAGCCTTCGTTGGTGATTTCTCATCAAGATATGTTGCAGATAGCAGCGCCCTACTCAAATGCGTTGGTCGGCAGATTTGCCGTAGGCCGCCCTTCCATGGAACTTATTCGCAAGTTTATTGTTTCGTTGGGGTTGAGGGGCGAGTGCCCAATAGGTTTGTTAGATTCCAAGCACATTCTTTTACGTCCATCAGAGGAGGAAGATTACACCAGGCTTTGGTGTCGTCGGTTTTGGTATGTTGGCAAGTTTCATATGTCTCTGTCGAAATGGACAATTGATTTTAAACCAGGAGCCGAGTCATCCATTGCACCAGTTTGGGTCAATTTTCCGGGTCTTCCACTGCCGTTTTTCGAAAAGCAATTTCTGCTTAAACTCGGTACCCTACTTGGCCGACCTTTGAAAGTGGATGAAGCTACGGCTTCATTGAAACGCCCTTCTGTTGCCCGTATTTTGTTGGAGGTTGATGTATTGCAACCTCCCAAATCTAGGATTTGGATCGGAGATGATCAGTGGGGTTTTTGGCAAAAAATTGAATATGAAGATTATCCTTCTTATTGTGGGTTTTGCTCGTTGATTGGCCATACAGAAGCCATCTGTCATCGCAAACATCCGGAATTGAGGCCGGTTCGTTCTGGTCCATCATCTAAAACGCACGTCAGACAAGTTTTTCAACCAAAGGGGGTATCTGCTGTTGATGACTCTCTGCCTGTTGCGGGTTCTGGGGTAGTGGAAGTTCCGGGGATACAAGCGCCAGATGCACCGGTGGCACCGGAGGCTACTGCTGACTTGCCACCTCAGTCTGCTAATCCTAGTCAGGGAAATTTTCCTCAAGCTACTGTACTTGTTCATGTTCCTGTTCTTTCAAATACGTCTCTGGGGGCTGATGAAGATACGCAGAATTTGCTTGCCTTAGGTCGCCAAGTTTCTTCTTCCCCGTTTCAGGAGTTATCAGATGATATCCTCATTTCTGACGGGGATAATCGTGGGCTGCTAATTGCAACTGTGTCTGAAGGGCCGAACCATGAACGGCATTCCTCTTCGCTCTCTCCTATGCGGATCACGATCGTGTTCGTCTGGTGCGGTCTAGTTCTGAAGGGCGGTCAGGGGGGCGAGGGATTTCTTTGGTGGAGTTGAAAAGTTTTCAGGATCGCTTACCCAGCAGAATCAAAGCATCTAAGCTTTGTTATGATCCGGTTGGAGGGTGTCTGGATGATACGGATTCTCAATTACTGCAAAAGTTGATTCAAGGACACAAGGGTCGTCCTAGGCAGTCCAGGAAACGAGAAGGTATGAATTCATCTGCGCATTATAATCTTCGGTCTAATAATGTTAAATCCGATTAAGTTTATAGTGTGGAACATTCGGGGTGCAACGAACAAGGAGTCATTGCGGTATATTCGTTGTACTTGTAGATCAAATAATATTAGGTTACTGATTCTTTTGGAACCTTTAGCCAATGTCTCTCATCTGGGGAGTGTGCAGTTGTTTTTGGGGTTTGACTTTGCTAGGTCTTTCGTGAATAACAAAATTTGGATATTCTGGTGTTCGGATGTTCGATATTCTTTTGTAGAAGCTGCGGATCAATTGGTCCATGTCTATTTGTCTTTCCCTTCTGGCTCTTCTTTTATTATTTCAGCTGTCTACGCGAAGTGTAACAGAATTGGTAGGAGAAGGCTATGGGAGGCTTTGGAGCATTTTTCCATGTCCGTTACTCTACCGTGGATTGCTGTAGGAGACTACAACGTTATTACTTGCGCGGAGGAAAGGATTGGAGGATCTTTCCGAATATGCGAGATTTGGAAGAATTCAACTCAGCTTTACATCGCAGTGGCTTATTTCCAGTTCAATTCGATGGGTCTGCTTACACATGGACCAATGGTCGCATGTGGCAGCGGCTGGATCGAGCGGTCGTTAATGCCGCCTGGCTCGCAGATGTTGAGATGACTAGAGTAGCTCATCTTCAACGGGGGCGGTCTGATCATTGTCCGTTGCTAGTCAAGGGGGTAGTACATCGACAAGGCGATCATCATTCCGGTTCCTCAATGTCTGGCGCGGTCACTCCAGTTTTCAACAAACAGTCAAGTTGGCGTGGTCTCAGTCTGTTTCTGGAGTGGGAATGCAGAAATTCTTTAATAAGTTACAGGTGGTTAAAAGAGCTTTATCTCGATGGAATGTGGAGGTTTTCGGGAATGTCTCTCAAAGGGTCAAACAGGCAGCAGACAATTTATTGGCCAAGGAAATTTTGTATGATCAGAATCGGGATACGGTGTCTAGGACGGCAGTTCACGAGGCTAGGGCACTTCATTCTCGGGAGCTAGCATTGGAATGTGAATTTTGGAGACAAAAGGCTGCGATTAAATGGATCAAAGAGGGTGACGCTAATACCTCTTTTTTCCATGCAGCAGTTAAGCAAAAACGCAGTTGTAATTTTATTGCACGCATCAGGGGAAGTGGCGACAGTTGGTTTGATAGTATAGAGGATATTAAGCTGTCAGCAAGTGATTTTTTCTCCACGTTGTTCACAGCAGACCGCGCTGCAGGTTCTGGCATCAGGCCGTCACTTGAGCTGCCTAAACTTACGCCAGAAGAGAACGATATGTTGCTGAAGTCTCCATCGGTAGAAGAAGTTCACACGGTTATATGCTCGTTGGACTCTCAGAGTGCTGCGGGACCCGATGGGTTTGGAGGGGGTTTTTATCAAAGTTGCTGGGAGTGTATCAAGGACGACTTCATGGATGCGGTGCAGGATTTCTTCGCTGGTGCCTCGATGCCCCGCGGATTTTCAAGTACCACGATCACATTACTGCCTAAGAAGGAGGGTGCATGTGAGTGGAAAGATTTTCGACCAATAAGCTTATCTAACGTTAGTTCGAAGATCATCTCGAAAATTTTGTCTACCCGCATTAATACACTCCTTCCTAAGTTGATTTTGGAGTTTCAGACTGGATTTATACCGGGCAGGGGGATACAGGATAATGTCCTCCTCGCTCAGGAATTAATTCTGGATTTGGACAAGAAATTGCGTCATCCTAATGTAATTTTGAAATTGGATATGGAGAAGGCCTATGACAGGGTGGAATGGGGGTTTCTTTTGTACATGCTTCGTGAATTTGGCTTTAAGGAAGGTGTGGTAGATCTGGTTTTTCGGTTAATATCCAACGTGTGGTTTTCTGTATTGGTTAATGGGGAGCTCACGAGTTTTTTCAAATCGACTAGAGGGGTACGTCAGGGGGATCCTCTATCTTCTACTCTTTTCCTTTTTGTATCGGAATTCCTTGGACGGAGACTTCAGCAGCTGGTTGCTAACACTCCGAGGTTTAGATTTTTGAGTAAGGGGGGGCTGGTCCCGTTTCTTGCGTTTGCTGATGACATGGTTATCTTCACACGGGCATCGGTTGACTGTCTGCAAGCTGTGTCGTCCTTGTTGCGAGAGTATGAAATTCTTTCTGGCCAAAAAATAAATCTTGCCAAGAGTAGGTTTCTGTGTTCATCGAAGATTCCTTCGATACCATCACTTTAATTCAACAAGCTACGGGGTTTCAAGGGCAATCTTGGCCTGTGAGATATTTGGGAGTGCCACTGTTTCGTGGCCGTAGTAGGAGTATTTTATTTGATGGAGTTTTTGCTTCTGTTAGAGCAAAGCTTCTTCATTGGAGTTCCCGCTTCTTGTCTGCTGGGGGGAAGATCATATTGCTTCGGCATGTGTTGAACTCAATGCCTATTTATTTATTGCAGGTTTCTAAACCACCGAAGGGGATTTTTCTAAGGCTAGGTAGGCTGTTTAATGCATTTTTGTGGGATGGCAAGGATGGGAGACGGATTCATTGGTCTTCCTGGGAGAAATTATGTTTTCCAGTCGCAGAAGGGGGTTTGGGTTTCAGATCACTGCTGGATGTAGAGAAGGCGTTTGCAATGAAATTATGGTGGAGAATACGTCAAAAGAATTCTACGTGGGCAAGGTTCATGCATCGAAAGTACATTGGTGACCAACATCCGTCCTCGGCAGAGGTTGGTGTTGGGTCGGCAATATGGAAGCGGGTCTGCTCAGTTCGGACTGTTGCTGAAGCCAATTTTCGTTGGCGTGTTGGTGAGGGGTTTGTCGATTTTTGGTACGATCGTTGGCTTTTTGACGAACCGCTTAGTAGCCAGTGTGATGGGGAGCCTCCTCATTGTTTGGTAGCTGAGTTCTATAGCTCTACAGGGTGGAATATTGAACGTTTGCTCCAGGTTCTTCCTCGATCGGTCGTTAATAGTATTTTGCAGACAAGTGTTGATCCAGCTCTTAAGGATGAATTGGTTTGGGCTCCTTCAACGGATGGTAGGTTCACTGTGTCGTCTGCATGGGATTTAATTAGACAGCGGCGTAACCTGTCTTTGGTGTGGCGCGGAATTTGGTGTCCATTGCTGCCGTTAAAGATGTCTTACCTTGTTTGGAGGATTTTGGCTGGTTTTTGCCGTTGGATGACAAGCTCCGTTCTAGAGGGTTTTCATTGGCTTCCAAGTGTGATTGTTGTGGTGATTCACAGGAGTCTTTGCATCATATTTTTGTGCAGGGCAACTTGGCAAGTGCTGTCTGGAAGCATTTCTTCCGCGCTTGCGGTATCCCGTGGACTTCATTCTCATGCGTTTCTTCGTTGCTAGTGGTGTGGTTTCAATCTTCTGGGAGTGGGCGTTTGGATCATGTTCGGTGTGTTATACCTGTTGTAGTGTTATGGTTTCTGTGGCGTAGTAGAAATGACGCTCGGTTTGGTAATGTTTCCTCGGCTTGCTTTAAAGTTATTTCAGACATCAATGGGTGGTTGGTTGCTCTGGGGGCTGCGCGTATGTTGAAAAGGTCTCAGTTGGAGGGGGATACGGATACCTACTTTGCACGGTATTTTCAGCTCAAACCACATAAATCTTTCTTTCCGCAAGCTATATCTTGGAGGAAGCCTCCTCGAGGGGCAGTCAAGCTGAACACCGACGCAAGTGTGTCAAATGGGTTGGCGAAAGGCGGAGGAGTGGTACGGGATTTTGAAGGGAAGATGCTTGGTGCTTTTTATAAGGAGTTTGGGAATGTGAGGTGGTACATGCGGAAGGGTTAGCGTTGTTAACTGGTCTACAGTGGTGTGTTGGGACAGGGTTGTCAGATATTTTAGTAGAAGTAGATTCTCTAGTGTTGGCCCGGCTGGTTACTAGTCAATCGATTGGTAAGTGGCCGTTGTGTAGCATTTTAAGCCAGATTCGGTTGTTGTTAGGTAAGGTGCAGGGGACCATTACGCATATCTATCGTGAGGCGAATGCTGTGGCAGACAGCCTAGCGGCTTTATCTTTGGAGAGTCCATTTGTTACTTTCCAATCTCATCATCTGCTTCCAAGTAGGGCTCGGTCGTTGATTAACTTGGATGCAATGGGCTATCCATATATTCGAAACGTTAGTTGTTAGGTATTTTCTTATTTTTCTGGCATGTATTGAAGGGAGGGTTTGCTTCCTTCGTCGTATGATTTTGTTGCTGTTGAATAAAATTTGGGGGTTCTCCCCTTTTATTAAAAAATATATATATATATATATATATATGTTAATATAAATTGATGATACCTATGCCAAATTATGTCTTTTAAAATTTTGAATATGATTTTTTTATTTTTTTTAAATACATCTACATCTAATTATTACCAACAACTTGAATTGAACAAGTTTCCTAAATAAATAAATAAATACAAACATTTCCTACAATCTTTTCTTCCAAAAAATTCATCATTTGCAATATGTACTATTCTTGCTAGATATCTGCACATAATCTTCAATTCATTCCTACGCCACTAATATCATAAAGTTACTAATACCTGATATTTCAAAACTTAATTTAGTACCACAGTATAGTCAGTATTGTCAAAATCGCGATTCGGATCGTAGGATTGTACGATCCTACGATCCAGACAAGGTTTGTAAAATCGGGATCCTACGTAGGATCGATTTTAGTTTCACAGAATCGGATCGTAGGATCGTAAGATCCTACCAAAAGTTCCTAAATTTACTAAATTAATGAATTTAAAATTCATATACCATTTTGTACCTCCTAAAAGATATCAAATAAATAAATTACTCATAAATATATAGCATTTTTTACTTACTATATGACAAGTAATAAAGAAGAGAATATAAACCTGTTATCTGTCATGATTTCAAGTCTTAAAATCAAATGCTTTTACAGTTTACACAATCATAATATCCAAATATAAAATAATTATCAACCTCCAATGATGAAATGTAAACACATGGGTGCCATCTAAGCAATGACATCTGTTGGGATGCCTTGAATTAGGTCTTCAATCTATGGCAATTCGACTATGTTACGTGTCGCTGAGCTGTTCGGGTTTTGACTTTTTTAGCAAAAATTGTTAAAACATTGCACAAATGTTTTCATTTACTTGCAAAATGGAGTCTCATATTCACATATTAGCAAAATTTTGTAGGATCGATGTAGGATCGTACGATTCTATACGATTCTACACTATCCTACTCGATCTTATGGTCGATTAATGCAATTTGCGATTCTGAGTGCGATCCGGATTGATTTTGATTATCCGGATCGTAGGATCGTATGATCCTACGATCCGGATCGCATGATCCTACGATCCGGATCGCGATTTTGACAACCATGGATCCAGATAACCAAAATCGATCCAGATCATATTTGGAATCGCAAATTGCATTAATCTACATAAGATCAAGTAGGATCGGTAGGATCAAGTAGGATCATACGATCCTACCATCCTACAAATTTTTGTAAATTTGTAAAATACGAGGTTCCATTTTGCAAATAAATGATAACATTTGGGGTAGGTTTGTAATTTATGAAAAAATTGCAGACTTTAATTGCAATTTTTTAAACAATTTTTGCCTCAAAAAGTCAAAAGCTCCTATTCTTCTCATCTTCTCCTCTCCTTAGTCCTCTGTCATTTCTTCAGTCTTCACTTTTTACTTCTTCTCCACCGCTGTCTGAAACCCTACTTTATCAATCAAAGCACCACCGCTACAGCTCCTACCAACAAGACGAAATCTCTGTGACTTCTACCAAGTACCAACAAGCTACAGCTTCAAGGCTTCAAGCCAAATTTTGGCAGTTTCAAGACGAAATATCCTCTGTTGCTGCCAAATTTTGGCAGACTCAATTGTAGCTCTGGTTTTGAATGCCAACAGGGAAATGTCTAAGGTGGTAGTGGAATCAGAACCTGTGGTGAGTGAGGAAGAAGATGCAAGGAAAGTTGAAAAAATAGTACATGCACTCCTTGTTTCTCTTTTTGGAGATTTAAAATTTGGGAGAATGGTAAACTAGGGATAAGTGTTGACGACAACATCACACACCTTGATAAACAAAGTGGAGATGTGGAAAGTGAAAATAAAGGCCTCAAGGAACACGTGAGGGTGGCATTCCAGCGAATAAGAAGTGCTGTAAAGCCAATCCCTCTTTTAGCTTAAGCCATTTTTCTCTTCTTCTTTCTTTTAGTTCATCAGCTGGGTTCAATCCAGACTATGTGTTCGGCATTTTGGTTGGCCTAAAGAGTAGAAATGAGCTGCTAATTTCATTTTTGTGATTCTATAGCATGAGAATGCTTGTATGCCCTGTAGGTTCAAACAAACGCTATTTTAAATTCCAATCTTTTGGGCTAATTACCTGGATAGCAGCATGGCTCCATTATTTTGAAGTATTCTCGTCCCTTCCAGGCTTGCTCTTTGGTAATGTTCATCTTTTGCTTCCAAATTTCCTTTGGCTTGTTTGATTTTTTTTTTTTGGTTGCAACGTGGATAAGCATGTCTGCGGTGAAACACACTTGGTGGACAACTCAACCCTCTTATTCGCACCTAATGAGCAGCTGTTATAGGCTTACAGCACATTCAAAACCCGAAAATGATGTTCAAATGGGAACTAATGATTTGGATGATACTAATTTGGTTAGTGATGAAGATAATGCCGAAGATGAATCCCAAGAGAATTGGGATGGTAAAGATAATTGGGAAAATAATGATTTTGATAATGTGGGTTATGGGATAATGAATTTGATGAAAATAATTGGTTATAAATTAATGTATTTCTGAATTATTATGATACTTGAAAATGATGAATTGTTACTATTTTATTTTTTATTTTTCATGTTTGTTTAAACTTGACTGATGACATTTTAGTAGTTAATTTTGATCTTGAAAATCTTGGATTTGGTTGTTTGGCTTTTTAGTATTTGTGGAGGTTGATAATTATTTTATATTGGAAATTATGATTGTATAAACTATAAAACATTTGATTTAAGACTTGAAATCATGACAAATAACTGTTCATGTTCTCTTCTTTATTACTTGTCAGACAGTAAGTAAAAAATGCTATATATTTATGAGTAACTTATTTATTTGATATCTTTTAGGATGTACAAAATGATATATGAATTTCAAATTCATTAATTTAGTAAATTTAGGAACTTTTGGTAGGATCTTACGATACTACGATCCAATTCTATGAAACTAAAATCGATCCTACGTAGGATCCTGATTTTACAAACCTTGCGTATAGTGACTTTGAAGATCTTGGGATAGCTTGTTTCAAACTGAATGTTGTTACCGTAAAAAAAAAATCACGTAGCAGAAATTATTAAAAGTTTCCCAAACCAATAAACAAGAAACCGTCCAATATAATTGATAAGAGTATACTAAGCCTGTAAGGCTTCAATTGATAATTCAAGGACTGAAGGAAACTGTATCACTCAGGTTAATCACATTCAACTATCTAGCAATTAGTACCAAGACTATGGATAAGTAACAATTAGAATAATGCAAAAGGTCAAGAGATTCTAAAATATATTCAATGATGAATCTGATTTTTCTCAACTACAAACATCGGACTTCAAGTCCTTAAATAGAAAAACATAACCAATTATAATTATAATACAAAAACTCAACTCTATTTTCTGTACCAACTATGACACCAAATTTAATATAGTTATCAAATAACAAATCAATTTCTAAAACTATTAAAATTCTAAATATGCTTGGTTTAAAATATGTCAATAATGCCTCCCTTAAACCAGGCTTTCCAAACTTTTATGTTCAACTCTATCACGAGTAACAATTTTCATGCAAATCTATTTCGCAGTATAGTTAACGTGAAACTCCAATTTTTAATTAATCTTTAATTTCTTCTTCATGCGTTGAAGTGGACAAAACTTGTATTTTGCATACAATTTTATTGCTAATTATACTCAATCAGAAAAGTCATCCATATTAACCCATTCGCAATTAGAGCCACCATAAAAATAATCCACGTAACTTTCAACTAATAAATCATGCCTTTCATAATTTTCTTTATGGCAATAACTTTCACTGTAAAAATTTTTAATAGATTCAACTCTCTCAAAAATATTGTCATGCATTTCTTTATTCAAATCAAAACTTTCACTAACAAATTTTTTTTTCATTTTCATCCACAATCAAATTAATGCATTTACTAACAATTTTTTCTTCATCAAACACCCCAAATAAACTATACAAATCATAGTTTTCAACAATATCAAAAAATTCATAGGTACTTTTTTCATCATCAACAAGCACGTCTTCTTCCAAATTAATTTCTCATGTGAATTTAAGTTTTGACTTATGATTAGATTTATATGGAAATTCCATCATCAAAATATAAAAGAGATCTAACCAAAATCATTGAAATGATTGAGAAGAGATCTAACATAGGTACTTTTCCGCTTCTTATGGCGGTGTCAACCCGTTTGGATGGTAAACCCCGGCCTTTCCGATTCATAAATGCTTGGGCTGAACATGAGGAATTCTTGGGGGTGGTAAGGAAGTCCTGGGAGCAAGAGTGCTCGGGGCCGCCGTTGCATGTCTGATGCTCGAAGCTACAACGGTTAAGGAAGTGTATTCAACCATGGAATAGGGAAAGAGTAGGTAATTTCTCTGCCAATGTTCGGGAGGCTGAGGCAGAGGTGGCACGACTGGAGCAAGCTATGGAGGACGGGGGCTCGGATGAAGCTCAGGTGTGTCTACAACAGGCCCAGGCTCATCTCAATCGAGCTCTAAGTATGGAGGAATCCTTGTGGAAGCAGCGGTCTAGGGTCAAATGGTTGCAATTTGGTGACAGGAATACAAAATTTTTCCACTCGGTGGTGAAACAGCGCCGTATGCAGGCAGTAATTCATGGGATACAAGACTGAAATCAGGAGTGGGTGACTGAGGATGAGCTTGTAGGAGCGGAAGCAGTCAGGTATTTCTCTGCACTGTTCTCGAGGGAGGAGGCTTCTTTCTCATCTGCGACTCTTGGGGTCATCCCGCGCTTACTCTCGGCGGCAGACAATGTGGTCTTACAAGAAGTTCCATCCATAGAAGAAGTTCGGTAGGTGATTTTTGAGATGGACAGGGATAGTGTTGCTGGGCCCGATGATTTTATTGGGAAATTTTTCACTTCCTCCTGGGACATAATTGGGGAGGATGTATATCGCGCTGTACAAAGTTTTTTCTGTGGGGAGGAGTTGCCCAGGCAAGTGACTGCTACTTCTCTAGTTTTGCTGGCCAAGGTTGCACGTCCTAAGGATTTTTCTGAGTTCCGTCCGATCAGCTTGTGTAATTTTGTCAACAAGATTATCTCTAAGCTTCTGGCCAATCGTCTTGCTGCTGTCCTCCCCAAGATAATTTCGGAGAACCAAAGTGGGTTCGTCCGGGGACGGTTGATCTCCGATAATTACTTGTTAGCTCAGGAATTGGTCTCTTCGATTGGCCGGGCTACACGAGGAGGTAACGTTGCTTTGAAGCTAGATATGATAAAAGCTTATGATCGGGTTGTGTGGCCTTTTTTGATCAATGTGCTCAGAACGTTTGGATTCGCAGAGCGGTGGATAGATATGGTTTGGAGGTTAATATCAAATGTCTGCTTTTCAGTGGTTGTGAATGGGTCGTCGTATGGTTTTTTCAAATCAACCCGGGGGCTTCGTCAAGGGGACCCCTTGTCTCCTGCGCTATTTATCATTGGGGCTGAGGTGTTATCGAGGTCGCTGAATAAGTTGCAGAGTCATCGGGGGTTTCAGGGGTTTCGTGTCCCCAGGGGATGTCCTCAAGTGTCTCACTTGGGGTACGCCGATGATGTGTTAATCTTCTCCAGTGCCTCGATGAAGTCCTTGAGGCTAGTGAAGCAGGTACTAACTGATTATGAGGCAGTTTCTGGGCAAAGGATCAATGCGAGGAAGAGCTGTTTCTTGGTGCACCCGACGACCTCTTCGTCCAAGAGATTGGGAATACAGAGGGTAACGGGGTTCTCGTATAAGCCGTTCCCAATTAAGTACCTTGGTTTCCCTCTTTATTGTGGGCGGCGAAAGAAGGATTTTTTTGGGGGGTTGTGTCAGGCCGTTACGCTACGGGTGTTGTCCTGGCAGAATAGGTTGTTGTTTCAGGGTGGGAGGATTGTGTTGTTGAAACATGTCCTCTCTGCTATGCCGACATACCTGTTGATGGCAGCTTCGCCCCCTAAAGCTGTTTTCAAGGAGCTGGAAGGTATATTTTCTAATTTTCTCTGGGGGTCGACTGACGAAGGTCCCAAACACCATTGGATTCGGTGGAAAGATTTGTGTGTTTCGCGCGAGGAAGGGAGGGTTGGCTTCCGTCTATTAGAGAATATTCACAGGGCCTTCTCCATCAAATTATGGTGGAATTTTCGTTCCAAGTCGTCCTTGTGGGCCTCATTTATGCATGCAAAGTTTTGCCGGATGGCGCACCCCAACATGGTATTTTCTGAGAAGAGCTCAGAGGGTGGAGAAGGATGGTGAAAGTCCGAATCTTGGCAGAGAGGCACATTGGATGGATTATCCGGTCCGGGAGCTCTAATTTTTGGTTTGACAGTTGGCTAGGTACTGGGGGGCTGGCGATCGGTTGGATAGCGTGTCAGACCACAAGATGGCGGAATTTGTGCAAGGCGGTTCTTGGGATGTCCGCAGGATTTCACAATGGGTACCTCTGGATATAGTTGCGGAGATTGGCCGAATGCACCCACCTGTTGGGTCGCTTCCTGATCTAATGGTTTGGCGACCGGAGCCATCGGGCCGTTTTACTCTCAAGTCGGCTTTCTCCTTGGTCCAGCATCATTCTACACCTTTGCCGCTATTCAATCGCATTTGGCATCCAAGGGTGCCGC